ATCCTCACCTGAGGATATTTTTCCATTAATTTTTAGATAGAGTAGAAGGGAGGGAGAAACGGGGAGAGAGACACACACACATATCGATTGATTGCCTCCCACACAACCCTATCCAGGGCAGGGGATTGAACCTGCAACCAAGGTACATAACCCTTGATCGGAACTCGAACCTGTGACTCGTTGGTCCGCGGGCCGATTCCCAAACCACCTTTCACCTTTTTCACTGGAGCAGTTCTTTTTTTTTTAAATCCTCACCAGAGGATAATTTTTTCATTTATCATCAGATAGAGTGGGAAGAAAAGAGGGAGAGAGAGAGGGAGAGAGAAACATCAATGGGAGAGAGACACATTGACTGGTTGCTTCCCGCACAACTTCGACCAGGGTCATGACAAACCACAACTGAGGTATGTGCCCGTGACCAGAATCGAACCCTCGACTCTTTGGCCAAGACTGGAGCAGCTCTTTAAAGAATAAATTCCCTTGTGTAATCTCTTTCCTACCTTGTGAAGTGAGGGCTCCTAATTTCCAGCCTGACAAATCCAGATTTTATATATAATAAAGCCTTGACAACTCAGTTATGGAGATTTGTTTAATTAATTTTCTTATTAATTCAAGTTTAATTTGGCTATAAAAGTCTTTTGGTTTCAACCCTTAGCATTGAGAATCACTCTAAATAGTTTGAATCCACTTGCTTGCTCTAAGTCCATTCTACTCAATAAATTAGGTTTGCTTTTTTTCTTTTTCTTCTTATTTTCCCCCTCCACTGGGCAACCTGTTTCAGTGCCTGCAGCCTACGGGCAGAGGCCAGGAAATGGTTCAAGGCCACAGTCTGCTCTGGCATGGTGTGTGTGTGTGTGGGGGGGGGGGGTGTTGCTTTTTTATAATAGAGGATCTTAGAGCACTGTAGGGCTTTAAAAAAATTTCTTTTTATCCTTACCCAAGGACATTTTTGCATTTATCTTCAGATAAAGCAGGAGGTGTGTGGGGGAGAGAGAAACATTGATGTGAGAGAGACACATCGAGTGGTTGCCACCCACATAACCCTAACCGGGGCTGGGGATAAACTGCAACCAAGGTACGTGCCCTTAGTCGGAACTGAACCCAGGACTCTCTGATCCGCAGGTGGATGCTCTACCCGCTGAGCAAAACTGGCCAGGGCAAAAAATTTTTTTCTTTATTGCTTCTAGAGAGAGAGAAAGGGGGGGGGGGAGAGAGAGAGAGATAGAAACATCGATGAGAGAGAATATCGATTGGTCACCTCCTGCATGCCCTCCACTGAGGATCGGGCCCACAACCTGGGCATGTGCCTTGACCAGGAATCAAACCAGCGACCTCTTGGTGCATGGGTCAACACTCAACCACTGAGCCACACTGGCCAGGCAACACCATAGGGCTTTGTAGGTCATCAAGTTAGTGCCAAGAGATCATCCCACAGCAAAGTTTCCATAATCCAATATTGCATCATATATCAGGACACCAATGGAGCCAAAAAACAGTGACTCAATGTAACCACACTCATATAAGACTGATGCTATTATTTGTCTAGCAATTTATTTATTTATGATCAGGATAATGTTTCAAAATCATAAAATATCCATGTTCCCTTATCCAAGAAAGCCCCTCCTCTGTGCTAGAAAACAAATAATTCATCAGCAAGTAGCTTGGCAGGCATGGACTCAGTCTGGAGGACCACCTTACTGAGCCATGGTGAGGTCTGACAGAGCACTACCATGATGACCCAACTCATTGTACCAAATGTAGCATCTGCCAACCTCTGCACTTCTTAGCTTCTCTTTTCCAGGGTCCCAGCTGACTGCTGCCTCTCTGATTCCCATCATCTACATCTGGTCCACACTATCTATAACTGATCTGGTTGATGAAATGTTGCTTAATTGATTATAATCATAATCCAGTTCTGCCTTCTTTAAGCTTCATTGGGTCAGCACAATGGAAATTTGTATGTGATCCCAAACTCTCCAGGTTTCCACTTATGTTCTAGCTTCAGCAGTAGCTCATCTCACCCTTCCTGTATGGGTTTTAGTAGTTAACCACAGAAACAGCCAGCTTTCCCTAACAGTCTAGTTCTTGGGCACCCGTTAGAGATACTATCAAGCATTACCAAGAAGGGTGCTCACTGGGAGCATGAATTTATGACACATTCCCTAAGTATGTCACATTTCATGTTTTGTTTTGTTTTGAACTTAAGAGTACTTAACCAAGGCATTCAGTTTAGACTTTTAAGGTACTGCTTCTATTAAAGGACAAACTCTCCGACAGAATTCTACTTTGTTTTCCTACCTTAACTTCTATATCTTTGCCTCTCTGGTTTTAGTCTGATTACATTTAAAACCTCTGCTCTTATTTTTTGCCTGTGTTTCCTTTCAACTGTAGCAGTCTCTCCTCAGCCTGTTATTTTTCCCCTTTGAGCCTCGGGTTTAACAACTCAGTGGTGGGGATCTCTCACAATTCCTCTCTCTCCTTTTTTTCCTCTCTCTATTATTTATTTCTCTCTCTCCATCTGTGTTCCCCTCTTTCCCTAGTTCCCTCCCTTGGATGTTTATTTAATTCTTCTACCCCCACCCAGTTGTGATTCCCCATGTCTCTTCTTCTGTCTCAGTGTACATCCCTGATTCTTACTTTTCCTCATCTTCCTACCAGTCTCTGCCTATCAGTTCCTGTTGGTCTGTCTTTGTGTCGCACTGTAGTGGCTTGCCCTTTGTCTCAGTGCCTGTCTCCAACAGCATATATTTCCGGCTTTCTCTTTCTGTCAATAAATCTTTCCACTGTCTGCCTCCTCCACCTTCTGAGCTTCTGCTTCTCAGCTCCCCTGACAAAGCCCCTCGTCTCTTTCCACCTCTCTCCTTCCACTCTGCTAATCTCTCAGTCTGCCACTATCACCTCCGTCTCTCCCGAGTCTGGTTGTTCCTTCTTGTCACTCACTCTCACTGCATCACTGTCTAGACGCTCTGTGCCATCCACCCTTGGGGACCCTTCCTGTCAGCCTTTCTTTTCTTTCTTTCCTTTCCTTTTTTTTTTTTTTTTTTTGTTAATCCTCACCTGAAGGATGTTTTAAGAGAGAGTGGAAGGGAAGGAGGGGGGAGGGAGAGAGGGAGAGAGACAGACAGACATCAATGTGAGAGAAATATTTCGATTGGCCACCTCCTGCACACACCCCGAGCAGGGCTGGGGATTGAACCCCCAACCCAGGTACATGTCCTTGACTGGGAATCAAACTCGAGACCCTTCAGTGCTCTAACCATTGAGCAACACTGGCCAGGGCCAGCCTTTCCTTTTATACACTTTTTCTTGTCCTCTTTGTTTATGACCATTTTACCAATTCTATGATTTGGATTTATCGAAAGCTTCTATCTTGATATTCTGCCAGGGATCCTGTCTTGCACTCCATCTCTCTTTGCCTCTGTCTCTTCTATACAACTAATCCTCTTTCTTTCTATTTGTCCCTCAATCTATATATGTCTGTCTCTAACATCCCCTTTGTCTTTCTCTAGCTCAGCTTCTTGGCAGAATTTTAAAAATCTTCCTGTCTCTTCCCTGTACGCATGTATCTTTTCTGTGGGTGATTAACGGTTATGTCTTTTCGTCGATTCTTCGGTAGAATAGCAACCTTAATCTGCTCTACACTCCCCACAAATGGGATGTTCTGCCTGAAGAAGGGAGGGGTCTTGTGCAATAAAAAAAAATGCAGCCCTGGCCAGGTAGCTCAGTTGGTGAGAGCATCACCTCAATTCGCCAAGGTTGTAGATCCCCGGTCAGAGCACATGCAAGAAACAACCAGAGAATGCACAGATAACTGGACCAACAAACTGATGCCCCCCCCCCCTCTTCCTCTCTTTCTCTAAAAAACTCAATAAATCAGTAAAAAGGAAAAAGAGCTCTGGCTGGTTTGGATCCATGGTTAGAATGTCAGTCCGTAGAGTCATGGGTTTGATTTCTGGTCAAGGGTACATACCTGGGTTGCAGTTTTGATCCTCAGCCCTGGTTCGAACCAAGGATATGTCTCTGTTACCTCTCTCTCTCTCTCTCTCTCTCTCTCTCTCTCTCTCTCTCTCCACACCCACACACACACTCTATCTAAGAAGCAATGGAAACATATTCTTGGGTGAGTGAAAAAGAAAAAAAATGCAGCAGAAGTGGGAGAGGAAAAGGAGGAGAGCTTGCGAACAGCTCCCAGAAGAGGCAGACATGCCTTAATCCCTCTGCAACCAAAAGGAAGCCTTTTCTCAGCTTCTTCTGCCCCTGCCCCATTCTTCCATGAAACCCTGGGCCTAGGCAGACCCTACACTGTGCACCCAGAATGAGTCCCTACTATGGCTCTGGACTTCAACACTATCCTAAGAAGCGAGACCTATCCTCATGTCCATTCCTCTAAAAATATGCATTTTCTTTGAAAGGTCAAGAGACACAAACAAAAAGTTGAGAAGGCAGTAGGACTCAGGTTAGGTACAAACACAATAGTGGGGTTTTGAGAACCAGAAATATTAGCAGCAATCACTATGGCCCAGATTCTTTGGTCTCCTAGCAGCTGTAATGTCTACATAGCTACTGGCTACAGATAGCACCTGTTGTGTTCTCCTCCCACTGCCAGAATTTGGTCATAGGTGAGGTCTCTCTTCCCTCTGGCCTTATCCCTTCCACACCAGATCTCTCTAATCCTAGTAAGACTTCACCTTTCCTCATCTGTCCCGGTGTTAAAGCAAAGGGTTTCTGTTCCTATTGGCAGTTACGTTCAGTTTCATGTGTCCTGCCACCTTTTATTGGTAGCACTGGCTGTACCTCTTGAATTCGTTTTCTGGAAAGGACGGTTATCTGGTGATGAAACTTGGTAAATGATAGCCCAGATTTCTACCACCCACGGACATTTGCATTTCTTCTCAGATTCTAGGAATGGGGGAGGGGTGTGAATTAGCTGGAAGAGGAACTGAGATACTGAAAATCTAGTCCAGTTCTTACCCCAATGAGGGGCTGTGCATCGAAGACAACTATCTCCTTGTCCTGGTCCTACCTCCCCAAGACTGGCAGAAGAGGAACCTGAGGCTTCTCTCTAGTCTTTTAGCCCCAGGCTCACTATCACATGTCCCGGTGCCCCTGGTTTCCTTGTGCCTAGGGATGGATGAATGAGGCCGAGACCGCAGGACATCATTGACAAAAATGCGAACACCCATTAAAATGCTCATGGTTCCCACAATGGCCAGCCCAGTGCCACCAAGGACAACCAGAGCAGGAGGCACCTGATGGTGCTGCTGGATCAACCACAGACTCATCCACCCAATTGGAATCAGGCGGAAGAGGACCAGGGTGGCCAGGGTGGCCCAGCTGGCCACACTGAAGGCCAAGGATGGAGTCTGGTGAGAAAGCAGCAGCAACTTTCTTAGGTGCAGGCAGGAAGAGTTCAGCTCTATGAGCAGAGACACCACAGAGAAGCCCACATAATGACTGGACAGAATGGCGGTGCTGAGGCAGCTCACTACCTGGGAAGTTAGGGTCAAAGGTTAGAGGACCGTCTGTGACTTACCACCCAACATGTCCCAGTATACCAGTCTTTAATGGAGGGAATCCCAAGCATTTCCTGGCACTCTCTCCCCTCAGATACCTAACTTGATGCTTCCCCTATGTCAGGAGCCTGAATGGCTTTGAAACAATCTTTCCCTGGCATTAAGGCGGCCATGGCCCAGAGGGCTGTCTTCCCTGGGGCTGCAGCATCTGCACAGCACACCCCTAACTTCCATTCCTGATCTTTCATGCCTCATCCTCACTCCCAACACTGGGGCTCCCCCTTCTCAGAAAAGCTCATGTTCAACATTTCTGCAATCGACAGGACACCTGCGGGAATCCAAGCTCCCCAGACAGTGCTCAGACTCCCAGTTGGGCCAGCAGTCAATCCCCTCCTCTCAATTCAGCCCCAGGTTGGGAGGATCATGCCAGGGGAAGAGGGGGTGTCAGTGACTCTGGGAAGTCATAGAACATAAGGCTGATGAAAGATTGGGGTTTCAGTCTGGGCACATCTCCCTTCCTGTCTTGTCTCTCCCTGAGTCTCACCACCAAATGGTGACAGAGAAGATCCCAGGCCTGGCCCAAGGTCTGGTTCCACAGCATGTCAGCTCCATCAGCCAAGAAATAACCTGTGGGGAAGGATGGGGGGGGGAGAGTTAGCCTTCCCCCAAGTCAGTATACAGCCTGGAGAGGAATCGCCATACCCTACTTTTTCTAGTTCTTTAGTCTCCTTCAGTAAAGCTGACAGAAGAGGACCGGGAATTACGCTGGAAGCTTGTTCCCCACCCCCAAACTGGCCCAGTTTTCCGTGCAGACTCACCCACAGATACAGCCACCAGCACCAAGGCCCAGGGCGGGTGGCCGTGGATGGGGTCAGCGGCCATCTGGGGGTATATCAACAGCCTAGAGGAGATGGGGAGCCACTGTCAACTTCCTGCAAACCCGGATTCCATTCACCGGTCGGGCACACTTGTCCACCCATCCCAGTCTCAGACTCTCAAGGTTGAGCATCAATTTTAAAAGTGCCTCCAGGTCTTCTAATGTTAGCTTTCCATCCCTCCCCCTCATCCAGGTACCTCCCGAACTTCTTAAACCCCGTACCCGAGCAGCGCCCCAGGCCCCATGAGCAGGCTGTGCACCAGGGAGACACAGATATTCCGCCACTTCCAACGGTCCGGAGCAGCAGATCCCGGCGCCGGCAGCAGCCGCAGCCCCCAGTGCATCCCCCGGAAGGCAGCGAAGGAGACACCGGTCAAGAGGAGCCCCGAGGACGCCATGGCCTGACAGGAGGGCTAGGTCCGGATCAGCTCGTTGGGCCCCTGGTATCCAACGCCCTCTCAGAGACCGCGAACCTGCGTCCCGGCAGCACTGGATCCCTAGGCTCCCTTGCTTGCCCGGTCTTTGGAATCTACAGTAACTTTTCCAGGGTTCGTCCACAATCTCTCCGCTGGGGATGGTCGGAGCAGCCGCACGGCCACCGCCCCTGGAGCCGAGGCAGCCGATCGCGTCCCGCCCTACGACAGACCGCTGGTTGGGGGAACTTGGGGACCTGGCGGTGCAACGGAGTTCAGGGCGGGTTTCGGATATTGATAGGTCTTCCCCAACTCCGCGTGTCTCTAACTCTTTAAATCTCCAGATATAGGTCACTAATCTCACCTGACACTCCCGGAGGCCCGGCCCCACTTACTCATCTCTTTCCCCTATTTTACAATCTCACCTGCTGGTTATCTCTTCCAACCCACCCACACGGCCCTTGTTAAGAGGCCAGGACAAACCCACTGCCACTTGCTTAAACCTTCGCACCCCTCCCCCGCCTCAGTTGTGGGGGAGACGGCATTTCACTTCCTTGGAGCCACCCCTTCTACCTCCGGAGGTTTCCAGACCTATAACACATCCCAGCAACCATATAATTCCAGAAGTTCTGACCCCCTTACATAGTACCTTTCAAACAGAACAGCAGCTCCCATTCTGGAGAAGCGACCCCTGGGAACTCCTCCCTCAACATTTTTTGGGTGCCCTACAGAGGAGCCGCATTATTAGGAGGGGGGGAGGGGTAAAGGGAACCACTCAGCACTGTAGTCTTGAAAAGCACCCCTCCCCCGAAGGTGGATCCTATTGGGTGGATAGAATAACTCTTCCAATCTCAGGCCAGGAGAGGTCACACAGAGTCACCTCAAGCTTGGGGCAAAACAAAGAGAAAAAGTAAAGACCCATCGTTCTTTTAGCAGCAGGATTGTTAGGATTCCAGAACCTTTCAGCCTGGAAAGAAAAATCTTCCCCCCAACTCCTATTTCCTGAAGAGTGATAGGTTTTTGCTGTTTCCAGTCTTACTCCACTCCACACCTTGAACTGGCTGCAGGCCAGAAATTAAGAGTCCTTTACTGATGAGAAACGGGTGGATTCCAGCAACTCCCAAAGAATGAACTTCTTAAACCCATAGGTGCTCCCCCAAACACTCTCACAACCCCCGTTCTCCACCAAAACCCCATTAAGTCCAAGGGGCAAAGGGTATCCCTTTATCCTTTCACATCCACCTCTCCAAAGTGAAAAAAAAAAAAAAAAATTACACTGATTTTTTAAAATTGTATTTGTTATATAAAAGCCATACACAATTAATGTAGCAAATTTAGAAATTACAGAAAAAAAATGAACGGGAAAATTACAATTACCTTATTCCACCATCCAAAGATAACCACTATTATTAACTTTGGAGTATATCTTCAGTCTATATCTATTTTATGTATGGTATGTAAGTATATACTTATTTCTTAAAAAACAAAATTGAGATCACATGATATACACAATTTTTATAACCTTTTTAATATTATAAAAACGTTTTTCTTTCCAGTCAAAGGCTCTACTGCATGACTTAATGGCTGTGCAGTACTCCACCACCTGGATAGATACACAATAATTTATTTAAGTAATTACCTATTGTAAATTTTCTTTTCTGCAGAAATGAATTTCCAATCAGACAGTTTCCCATTTTTCTCTATTTCAATGCTGACATGAACATCTTATAACTAAATCTTTCTTTTCTTAGGCTAAACTCCTACATGTAGAATTACTGGGTCAAAGGCCATGGCAATGCTTTTTTTAAAAGTTTTCCTTTTTTAAAAAAAAAATGTGTTTTTTATTTTATTTTATGGAGAGGGAGAGAAACATCAATAAAAGAGAAACATGGATTGCTGCCTCCTGCACGCCCCCTACTGGGGATCCAGCCAGCAACCAGGGCATGTACCCTGACCAGGAACTGAACTCGTGACTCCTTGGTGCATGGAGCGACACTCAACTGAGCCACATTGGCCAGGGCTATGGAAATATTTTTTATATATATTATCAAAGTTACATCCAGGAAGGCTGTACCAATTTGTACCCTTTTACGCAATGTATGGAAGTGTTATTTTAGTACCCCTTTGCCAACAACAAGGTCTTATTTTTTCTGTCATAGCTTGCTGTGGAAAAAATGCTTATAGCCATATTTGTCTCTCTTTAATTACTCATGAAGCACGCTATTTTTTTCATGGTTTTATTCATTTGAATTTCTTGTTTGAATTTCCTGTGTATGTCCTTTCACAGCTGGCTCTTGTTCCTCGAAGTTGCTTATATAAAAATTATAGGGTGGAGAAGAGGTGGAAATAGGAGTAAGAAGCCACAGGACACTTGAATGTGGTCCCACATCTCCGATGGAGGCGGAAAGACTGAAGATGGCTGGAAGTTTGTCCTTGCTGGAAGCTGGCTGTCCTCCCTCTTCTTGGAGTACTCCTGGCCTTTACGGGCCCCCTCTGCAGGGTGCCCGGACAGATCCCTGTGCTCTCCAGGCCTCGTCCTTCACTGGTCTTCTACCTGCATCTGTGTTCCCAGGCTGCTCTTCCTCATTTCTGCTCCATGATAGGTGAGGATGGCAGAGCCACATACCCGGAGCTGAAGGAAACACTGTGCCAGTGAAGCAATGAGGGGAAGAAAGGATGGAAGCAATGTCCAGGGACAGAGTGATCTTTGTAGAGGTCAATGAGTGGACTCAGTCTACCCATCCCCTTCTATCATAGTCCCACACACATCCAATTTAGGCTGCAGAAGAGCTGGATTCAATGGTCTATTCTACCCTAAATCTTTCAGTTTCTCATAAATGGAAAATAGGACCCAGTTCCTGGTCCACCTCTTCCCTCCAAATAGAACAAACAGCTTCCTGCAGCCCCAGGGAGACTGGGCCAAGGCTGAAGCACACCAGAGCCTGAGCCAAAGAGTGAGATTGGATCAGGAGATGGGGGTGGCAGGTTTACATTGCCTGATGCCCCAAAGAGAAGGGGGGTCACATCCCAGAACACAGCTCTCGTGGTTGCTGGAGGGGAGAACTTCCTGCCTGCACAGGCCCAAGCTGAGTCTCACACACAATCCTAGAAAGTAAAGTAAGGAAAGAGAGCAGTGGCAGCTGGAACCCCATCAGGTGCTGCAGTCCTGTTTGGGTGGCAGAGGACACCTGGGGCCACCTTTGCATGATGAGAAGTCAATGTAGAGATTGAACTCCTACTATTCCCTCTAACCTTCCACCCCCCTATCCCCACCCTAGTTCCTGGGGTTATGGTCAGGAGGGGGGAGGGCCAATAGCTTAAGCGAGAAACTGTTCTGTTCCCACCCCAAGCTCTGAGTCTGCACAAATGAGCTCCTGATTCTCTCAAGCACACTCAACTGGGTGATTTCCCCATCTTACAGGTAGGTGGAGAAGCTGAGACAGGATGTCTAAGAGTCCCACATATAGGTAAGTACCCCTAAACCTTAGTCTGGGCCAGTCTAAGGAAATGCAGGGAAAGGTAGGAGCAGGGGAATGATTACTGAGATGGAAGTTTCAGCATGACTCTTTTCCTAAGAGGAAGCTTACTTCTGGACCTCACCTGGAAAGGCCAGTGAAAGAATGAGAGATAAGGAAGGTCAAGAAAGACATCTGGGTAAAGGGATAGATAGGGTTTTCTTTGCTCCACTTCTCATTGTCACACAAAGACCGACTAACATTGGGTGGTCAGAGACATTATTCCCTAATTCAGTCAGGGTCTCTCATCTAAAATTGTTCTCTCTTGCTGCGCCAATCAGGGTGAAGGCTCTCCAACTGAACAGGGTCCCTTTCCTGAAATGTATCATCATGACTCCTGCTGTTCAGACCTTCCCAGCCCCAGTTCTGTCACCTTCCAGATGAGGGGGAAAGCAGCTCCTTCTCCTCCTCGAAGCCAGCGGCAGAGGGCAACAGTTCTTCAACTGGCAGCTTTAGCTGGGTCAGGACATAAAGCTTGCCACTGAAGAACTACTGCGGCTCAGCCAGGTGAGGGTGTGGGAGGTACAGGCTCCTAAAGACAAAGGGAAGAAAAACGGGAAAGACCTGAGCAGGGCCAGGTCACAGGGACACTGTCCCACTGGCCATCCAAGTCCAGCCCCAGCAGACACTCCGCCTTCTAACTAAGGGTTCTTGGCTCTGACCTGAGGCTGCAGGAGCTGTTAACTTCAGTGAAAAGCAAGAGGCAGCTCTAAACGTACTTCCCTTGCTCCTCTTTCCAGAACCGAAACTGTAGAAACCCAGGCTCTCATCCTCCTTACCCCAGCTACCCATGGCAGGAGTGGGGGTGGGGGTGCAGCATACTCAGCATTCAGAAAAGGCAGGACATGGAACCCTGGACACACCCCACCTGTCACCAAGGTATTAGGTCTAGAGTGAGTTCAGTGATCAGCCCAACTGACTTGTTCCTAGGGAGTTCAGCTAGAAAAAGAGTTTTGGGGGCCTGGATCTGGGGAAGAATGAGGAAGGCAGGAGGTCTAGAGTTTGGAAGGTCAGCGGAGGCTCCTGGGACTGTGAGGAAAGGACAAGGGACCAAAGGCTGGAAGGGAGGGAGATTAGGCAGGGAGGTTGGGCAGCCTCCCCAGGACTCTCAAATGCCAGGCATTCCGCTTGCGCATTCCGGGTACATCTGGTATGAATCTGCCGGCCCCTCCATGTCTGAACTTTGTTCCAAGTTCCAAGCCCCGCCCCCACAGTTCCAACGCATGAATCAGCAGGAAAAGCCGGGCCCTGCAGCATGGCCCGGGGAGGGGGCTGGGGGCGTGGCAGGCTGTGCTGACACTCAGCCCAAGGGCAAGCCCACGCCAATGGGAGGGGCCAAGGGGGTCTTGCTTTGAGAGATCTATACTCTGAGGGTAAAAAAAGATTAGGGTAGGAGTGGGAGGTTTTCAAATTACAAAACCCTCTTGGAAGGCATGAACTTTGAGGCACCTTCCTTCCCCCAAGTGACCA